AATTTATTTTGTCAATTTTATTTAGGTTACTTGAAACGAACTAATTATTCACTAACGTTTCAGGTTTATAGTAAGTTTGTAAATAAGGAGGTAAATGTGACGACGCAAATGATTTGACAAAAAATAACTTCCTTTCATGTAATTTTATATATTGACACCAATATTTTTTTTTATTGAGAAAAAGCTTGCCAACGCTCGGCACACTGACACATTGGTAAAAACAAACACACAATACAATTGTTAGTGTGACAAGCACTTACAGGCAAACATGACATATATATATATATATAGAGATCATAACCTATTACAACACAAACAAACATTACTAAAAAAAAACAATTCTAATCAAAGAAAAAAATCAAATTACAGAAAACTAAACAAAAATACATTTTATAGTGTGTATATATTGCGCAATTTTACAATTATTAATTATAATAATTGTAAAATTGCGATCGTCACTTAAAGTTAAGTAATAGGGTTACCGAAAAATGTTTTTCATTTAAGTAAATCATAAAATGAATAACAAATTTCAGCTTCATAATCAAGAAGAACAGAATTAATTACGCTTTCTCAACCCACTTGAGGCTTCTTCGGATTATTTGAATACCGATCCCTGCTATAATTAGCGGTTCTTATCAAACTCTTGTATTTGATTTTTATATTCGAGGCTCGGAAAGGTTTAATTGCATTGTTGTGTAAGTTTCTTTTTATTCGGTAGGTTTTTAATATAAAAAAATATATAAAAGGCTTAATACTGCTATGATATACTTTACTGCACTCATGACCCGCTTAAAAATGGAGTCTCAATTATAAAACAAATTTTGCAAATGATTACATATATCTGCATGATTTATCTTTCTTCATTCACCTTGAATAACGTTGTTTTATAGCATATATAGCACGAACTAGGTGGACTGACGACATCGTCAAGTAGGTTGGCTCCCAGTGGATGCAGAGAGGCCAGTGCAAGGCCTACTGGACGAAAATGGACCAAAAAAGAGGATGATGATGATCGGAATATTACTCAGAATACTCGAGCTTGATATATTAAAAAGTTTTGGATTGGTAGACACAACCGGTTCTAAACAGACACAAAAATGTTCTACCTCCTATTCGTATTATTTTTACGATAATTAACTTAATTCCGCTTTTTTTAAATACAATAAAATTTAAAATATTTTGGATACAAAAATGAAGGAATGTAATAGAAATAACTATAATCATTTATTTATGTATTTACTGCCATTTAACTATTTTAACAGTTATTACCACCAACGCGATGGTTGTCTATCTTAAGAATTATTTTAAAACAAATACGTGTGGCACTCGGGGACTGCCGCAGTAAAGCTATTGCATAGCATTTTTTATAAACTTATATATTATTACTTTTATATTATATTATTATAACTTACTCAAATACTATACTTACCCGCGATAAAATCTATGCAATAGCTTAAAATAGAAAAGTAATAGTTTTTTAATTAGCTAAATATCTAAACTTAATTAACATGAAACATTCAATGTCGCTATTGCGAACATTAAAATTGTCGACTGTTTCGGCGACAGTATTAAGCTCACGCAACGTCTTTAAGGGGCTCGGTGCCCTATAGTTTCATTCTGCCCCTAGGGACAGAAAATGAAATTCATTTCCGCCGTCTTAAATAGTCGTTTTGGTACAACTAAACGGAATTATTGCAGTAACAAAAATTACTAATCATTACCAAACTTTAACAACGTATCAAGCAAGCTGTAACTACCGCCTGATTTCTAGCTTGTTGTTCCCAACCAAACAACGAAAACAAGATTGGGTAAATTAGAGATCATAAGAGCCGTTGGTATAAAAACCGTGTAAATTTATTCTGAATATGCTCCAACGTGAGACAATACTTCGTCTCATGCGGAGCACAGACTGACCCAAATGGTCAGTAAATCGTTTATCAGTATTCATAATAATCGTACTAATAATAACAATTAGGTTTTTATTTCATACAAAAGCGTTGGATAGGATGTAAAATTAATTTCAAAGAACAATACTATCAGCTATGTTAATTTTGCATGAACAATGTAACATTAAAATTCATTAAATAACATTAAATAATATACGTAAAAACTATGTTACGTAGTTTAGGAAGCTATGCTTAACTAAGCCTAAGACAAGGTAAGATAATTCAACCTATTTACAATTCCCTGTAGAATGCCGTCGCCATTTCTAAGGCACTATTAGTACGAACATTTCCAGCTATTCTCGAAAAAATTTCTATAATTTCTTGTTAATTTATTATCATTTACACTAGGTTTTTTTGCAGAATATTGGTAAAAAGATTTATGTTACGGATACAGTGGAAGTAAATCAAAGGAGCTATTATCCGAATGCGGTTTTCATATCCCTTACCATAATCGATGGCTATGGGACCTTTGTGCTATATTAGATCTAAACGGCGTTAAGGGACTTCATTTTACTGAAACCTTTTTAATAAAAAAAATTCGTTATTTAGAAGTGGTGATAATTTTAGTTTGTATCAGACTGGTTTGATGAGTAAACATGAAATATTTTTATTTTTAGCGCCGTCAAGTTTATGTTATTAAATTGAAATAGTTCTTTGCTTAAAAGGGTGACCTATGTGCCGCAACAACCTAATCTTGCCTGTTTCTTCAGTATTTTGTATGTGTTGTCTTCTTTATTTTTCTTTTCTTTTCTATTGTCTATGGTTTACAATATGTTCATTAACTTTACCATCAAGGGTTAATTGGTGAAAAATCCATTGGCACAGAGCTGGAATTTGAACGCACATCCTCAGTCAACCCTGAGAACGTGCGTTCAATTACACAGTAATTGATACTGTACACTAAAAAAAACACAGTAATATGACACGTATTCAATAGGAATTTCTACCGCGATTTAACAGTAATTAGTAGGATAGTTTAAACTATCATTATTTTCAGATTAATTTACAGGTCACGAAGGTGTAATTAATATAAATCTAGGTTGGTTTAAAAAAACATAATTATATGGATGTCATGAAAAAGATATTTGATGTAGGAAGGTATAAATACCTTCATTAATTAACCTATTTGCAAAACAATAGGATTCAGCAATAATAAAATCTATGTACTAAAGCAGTTCTTTGTTATAAAAGCTCAGCTTTGAGTTTACGTAGTGAATTAGGTAATAAATAAACAACCTTATTGTAATACCTACTTAATTTATTTCGTCTTATAGGGGGATCAAAAAAGGGATTAAGACGGTTAATCGGATTTATTTGAAAGAGAAAATAATATTTATAAATCAGATTAAAGATTAGGCGAAAATAAATATAAGAGATGGCTGTGAATTGTGTGTTTAAGCCGCCGATATGACGCCATAGAAACCTTATTTAATAGGTTTCTATAGATGACTCATTGCAGAAAACGCAGACACAGAAATATGTCTGCCCCATTTTGAATTTGACTATTTGCCTATTTTATATTGATTAAATTTTGCTTGTTGATTGTGTTCGTAAATGCTACTTGCTTCTACAAAACTAAAATTATAATATTTTTTCTACGTTCACACGTTTATATGAGTATACTACTATAAATTATCTGGTTATGTATGAATATCTTAAATAAAAATATTATGAATATGTGTTTGTAATAAGACTTTTGACCATACATACTGCCTTGCCGAGCTCAATGGTATTTTCATATTAACATAAATTAATTGATTTACCCGATCTAGTTAGAATAGTATTGACAAAATAAATATACAGTCCACTGCATTGTCTCGTAATCATTACATTGAAATAATTTTAAGATTTGCAAATTACAAAGTAATCTGTGGAATTCAATTACATTTGGGAATATGAATTATAATATGCAATAGAAGCTTTAATAGAACATAATATTTGTAGTAGCAAAGTACTTGTTTATTGTAGAGTTTGCATACGTAATGAGGCCTTAGCTACGAGCTTTTGATGTAATAGAGAACTACGAGAGCTTCTATAAGCTGGATATTCAATCGTATTGTACCATTTCTAGAAAGCTTTATAATTAAAATATTTTTTTCAATAGAAAGCAAAAATTAATGGAAAACCGACGTTTAAATTAAAATAAATAACAAGCTTAATAATAATATTGTTCTAGTAGAGCTGTGCCGTCTAGTATAAGTCGAGTAGCATAAGACTTAACTTAAAAACAACTCTGCATGGCTGTTACACCAATTTTTGTATATATATGTGGGACCTTAAAAAATATCTTTTCCCAATAGTACAGTTATTTGTTATATAAAATAAATAAAATATTTCAGTGTATAGTGACAAAAATTATTTTACTTAAATTTAGGATCATGTATAAAAGTAATGTTTCAATAAAAATTTGTTACTGGCAAGGTTATTTCTCCCTGGAGTGCCTTTATTACCCTTTTCCAATGCGAAACCCACAAAAAGAAAAATATAATTTAATGTAATTCCTAATATGAATTCTTGAAGATAGACCTTATGCCATAAAACTACCAATGGTACTCATAACGTTTCACAGGAAATTTGAATTACGTCTTATTTGACTTAAAAATCTATACGCCATATAAATTGTACATATTGTATTCTAGACATTAATGATAAATAAGAAATACTATCGTCTATTCTCGTTTTTATGTAGTAGTACAATTTAACTTGTATATATATATAACGAGCACAGACATTAAAATAACACTTCATAAAATCGTGGATATCTCAGGCAAAGAAACAAAAATTTCGCTTTTTATGTAAAGAACCAGAGGACTTTTAGCACAATTACTGCACGGATAAATGTCTAAAAGGATCTCAAAGCAACTGCAGTTTGCCTACGACATGGCCTATGAAACTGCAAAGCTATGGACGCTGGCTGTAGCACGCTACGGGCTACGGCAGTTCGTAGCCGATTCACGTGACGCGCGGACGTACGCCGCATTTCGTAGCACCACGACTGCGTCGCTGCGTTATGTTCGATCGTGCATTATACGCAAAAAGTAAACAAAAAGTGATATGAGTTGTACGTCCCCAAGCGTAGTGTTGCGGTTCACCTTATTATCATTGACGTTTTTTGTGTCGTGCGCCTTTATAGCCAGTGTGGTGTGGCTGTTACGCACTAACAGTTCCAGCGGCCAATATGAGAATTATTACTTGTCGAGAATTAATATAAGCTTAAGGACGGAGGGCGACAATAATTCTGCGCCACCGCCTCCAGACCATTACAAAGACTTGATTAAAATAGAGATTGCGATGAGGCGCGTTGAAGAGAATAGTAGAAGACTCAAAGAGTATACAAAGTCATTGTTATGGGATAATAAAGATAAGTCATTGTGGTGTGTTTTATTCAAAGACAGTGATCGAATGGAAGCACCGTCTCAGGTGAAAAATAGGCATTCAATGGATGAGGATTACATCCGTATACTAAGGAAACAGAAAATGAGAGAATCTGTTATACATCTCAGGCATCACGGGATACACCATAGGCGACATCCAGATGCAATGCCGATGCCGTATATTAAATAAATGTATTACAAATGTTATTCAATGTCTAGTTTCACAAACATTATTTAATTATATTCTTAAATCGATTATTTATTGAAAGCGAGTATTTATAACATTCTATCCAACATGACATTTGAAGCCAATTAAGAACGTTAATTAGGAAAATAATATTCGCAATCAATTAGATTTTGCGGGAGATATTTTCACGTTTATTTATATTTATTATTAATTTAAATAACGCCCTTGTTCTTACACGAACTATAAACCTAAATAGCTATTAAATGTTTTGTCTTCATTACTCTCGTGGCACAATGCAAATGAATTAATGTGACAAAACATTTTTAACTAATTGTAGTTTACAGTATGTTTATGAATAAATAAGTTAATTTTAAGAACTGTCGTTCATTTCCAGCGTGTTCCGTTAGTAAAAAAATGCATCGAATAAAACACGTTTTGATTTAAACGCGGCTACAATTGTTATTAAAACTTACTTTTCGATTTTTAGATATTTAAGGCTTACAATTAAACCCAATAAATTATTGTTAAAGTTAATTTTGTAGCCAAAATTATAATTTTTTAACTTAAATGAGTCTAGCTACTTAACTGTATTTATTGTAAATGTATGTAAAACGTAAGGAAGCTTGTAAATATATTTTTGTATAAGTGTATATAGCACAATTTACGAAGCACTATTTGTTGACTTCAGACAATACATAAATAAATTATAAACAATTTATTAGCTATTTCATTTATGTTTATCATCTATATTATGTTTAAATAAACAGTATCAAGTAATTTAAAGAAAAAACTTTTTAACCGGATTAAAGTTATGTATTATTATAAATTTACAATTATTTAACATAATTTGAAATCAAAAAACACCCCAATTTCAATAGGGAAGACGGCCTAAAATTGTCAAACACCTGGGATCCAATAATATCCAAATTAAAATCTCAAAAAGAAAAACAATCCGCGAAAATAGTGGACACAGTGAGCCATTTTTTGCCAAAACCCTCCATCTTTTAGTCGATACCAACTCCGGGGAAATAAATACTGATAACGCAACTTTCTCTACAGCTGTGATACTTTTTGACATTCAACACCTTTTGTCTTCAGTCACCGTGACCACGCACGCTGTAAAGCACGCGAAACGTCGGATAAATTTAAAACTATGTTAAATAATTGTAACTTTATAATAATACACAACTTTAATCCGGTTAAAAAGTTTTTTCTTTAAATGTGTAAAGGTTATGTCAATCAAAGACAATACTAGTATCAAGTAATGGTTAGTCATAAATATATTTGTAGAAGATCGCCCGGGATTTATTTTACACATACGAATCATCTTACTAGCCCTAGAGTTTTCTATAGAACACAGCCTTTGAAATATCGGTTGGAATTTAAGTTATCGATACACATTTTTTTGGGTATATTTATAATCAAATTGAAAGCCGACTTTGATTAAAAAGATTCTATTTACATATTTATAAACTCTTTTTATATATAAACACTAATTGTAATAAAGAGGAAAGATGTGTATTTTGTATGTTTGACAAAAATCAATTTTTTTTCCTTTAGAAATATTTCTGATCTTTGAGTTACACAGGCTGTATTATTTATTTCCATATTATTTTTAAAAGACATCTCCAGTCTTGCTATTGGAATGCCGGAATGCTAGTCAGTGACAAAGGTTTTTAGTAAAGTTAAATAAACACAATTAAGATTTATACAGTCCTAATATAAATTATGGATTTAAAAAAAATCTGTTTCTTACCATGGTTACAATGACTTTGTCAAATTATACGGTAACCATAGCTACAAGCTTATTTGTACATTTTTCTAAAAAAGCCAAAAAAGTTTGTCTATCCAGCACAAATATTAAGTGAAAACGATGGTACATAAAGCTTTTATCCCCTTTACTTCACAGTAAATTTCAAATTGACCGAAGGAAATATATGTTCCTCAAGATCCTCGTTCAACAATGTATAACGTCGGTTAGGTGGTTGTTACACATCGTTTACTTGGATGTTACAGAGTTTAATGCCTCTACCCAAGTCTTCTTATTGTACTTATTTTAAATGAAAAATATTTAAATGAAACAGATCAAAAATCACAGATCAAGATAGATATATATTATTGAAAAACAACAAAACTATTATAACAAAACGTGTTTAACCAGGCGAACTTTTACACAGTAGATACATCCCAACAAGAGACCGGGTTACGAACTTAACACAATTAACATTGAGATTGACAACATAAAAATTGTCATACTAACACTTTTAATTATTTATAAGTGGAAAATATAAATTTTACACGGTACGTAGTCATCCACAAGGTTGTGTATAGCAAGTTATAAGAATACAGTATGAATAAACTTTAACCTATTTTCTTATTTGCTAGGTATGTGATACTTTGCTCGCGACTTCCTTTGCGTGTAGACCCGTGTACTAAATATCACAAAACTTTATTTGAGAGCAGTGTTGGCCTAGTGGCTTTAGCGTGCGACTCTCATCCCTGAGGTCGTAGGTTCGACCCCCGGCTGTGCACCAATGGACTTTCTTTCTATGTGCGCATTTAACATTCGCTCGGACGGTGAAGGACAACATCGTGAGGAAACCGGCTTGCCTTAGACCCAAAAAAGTCGAGGGTGTGCCTCAGGCACAGAAGGCTGATCACCTACTTGCATATTAGATTGACAAATGATCATGAAACAGATACAGAAATCTGAGGCTCAGATCTAAAAAGGTTTTAGCGCCATTTTTTTTTTTGTTCTTTATTGAAATTATTTTCTATTATCTCTATGTAAATCCATTGTAAAAACGTTAAAGTGAATTTGGTATAATATTGAGCAACATAATTTAGTATTAGGAGATGTTTGAGTCGTCTTTTACGTAATAGAAATAAAAAAATGTGTGCGTGTACTAGGTGTACACACGTAAGAAGTGAAACTTATATAAAACCTTTGTTGTACGCAGAGCCATAATTGGTTTGTTTTAAATTTAGAGGTCCGAAACTATTTCTTTAAACACAGTAAATTTTGATACACTGCCTAGCATACAATTTACAAATTAATTGCTGCAAATTGCGATTAGCAAATTTCAAGTCGAAAATGTAATGCGTTGTCAAACTTCAAAGTCAAAAACATGCTATATGTCATATTTTAACGCCGATAAAGAAGTTTGACTTCGAAAATGTAATCCGTTGTCAAACTTCAAAGTCAAAAACATACTATATGTCATATTTTAACGCCGATAAAGAAGTTTGACTTCAAAAAGCAACATGGCGCGTAACGGAAAAATGTGACGCGTAACGCAAAAATGTTACACTAAATTTTTTTTCCAACCCCGATAAAGAAGTTTCACTTCAAAAATGTTGATGTTTGTTTAGTCGAAGCACAAACGATAATGACTTGTACGAATTACTTGAATAGCGACTACTTACATATACAAATAGTACTGCGAAACTGTCTGTTTAATTGTTATATTGTTTTGGCACGAATATAATATAACTTCAAAACGTCTATCCATAACATTCATATCCTACTGTATCTGACGTGATCGGCACAGTATGGGATATCGAGGAAATGAATTTGTCTGTTGCAGTGATAAGCCAAGATATCTATCATGGAGACAGGGAGTCGTGGAGTAGGTCTTCGACATTGGGAGGGGTGGGTGGCTAATAAAGCTAGAACTATGTGTAGACGTCGGGTGCGAAATTAATAAGTTCATAGGTTGATGACATTAATCAAGTTTACGTTTTATTTTATATCTAAACTAGGTATTCCCTGCCACGCTTTGCTGTGGCATATTGTGATTGAATGGTTCAGAAATGAGAAACAAAACAAAGAAAACATTTCATATAAGTTTAATTTTGCAATACTTGTGGAAAAAAAAAAGATAAAAACATGCGGATCATGCTAAAATTTCATCTCGATCGGTGCAGAACTTTTTGAGTTTTTGAAGCGTATACAAACCAACATAACATTTATATATATTTACGAATGACAGCAAAACATACGTACAATTCGACAATTGAAAATTGGAATAATTACCAGTTACCTGTATGGATAAACCTTCTGTGTCTTTAAACCTGAAAAAAAAAGGTTTTATTCCAGGAAACGAACCTAATATGCGTTATAAAGATTCCAAGAGGAAATGGGCAAAAATTACATATCAAATTGTAACCTCCCTTCGAAATCAGTTGAAATGAATGAAAATAACGAGAAATCTACCGATAATAAATCTTTTGCTGGAGAAGATTAGCATTAATTTAACAAAATAGAAAATGTCGGATATATTTCACAAAGCTAGATTCCCTACGTGAACTAATCGTAGCCAACGAGGCAATAAACTCATTTATACGAGTCTCACGTACTGTGTATATTGCGTCGCAGTATGTTATATGACGGAGTTGTCCCTTCTATACTATTCTATAACAAAGATACAATCAAAACTAGTTTAACGACATTATATCTCGGTACGATTATTTCAGTTTATAAATCATAGGGCAAAGGACTAAACAACAAGTAAAATACGAAATAATTTAGAATTTATTGTTTTAGTTAAATAAAATAAAAAAAAGTATCAAATGTTTTGACGATAAGTATGCACATGCTTTTAATGCATGCTATTTAATAGGTACTTTAATATAATCTTATTAATATATTATAGTATTAACATATTAAAAATTCAGAATACATCCATGTGGTACCCTTATCAAATAAATGTAATATTCCCTTGAGGAAATGTTTCAGCTCCTTTTGGTTTAAGAAATATTGTATTAATAATTCAATATAATTTCTAAGTCATGCGATTGACGTTTCGTTGAGTTCCTTGGCGTTTATGATGGATGGGGTGCTAATTCAAAGTAAATAAATGTTTTAAAGAGCAATTATTTTATTATTTTATTACATATTTATATATGAAGGTGGATCTTTTAGCGTGTTTTATTTAGATAAAGTATAATTAGTATACGAGTTTGATTTCTTTGTTTTTAATTTATGTTATTATTATAAATTA